CGGTAACGACCGGTGAGGGGAGGACAGACAAAGGGCGGGAGGAGAATGTCGGTCCTGCTGGGAGGACAGGCCTCTGCGCCTGGCGCCTCGAGGGGCGAGGTGGGAAGAGGGCTGTGCGGCGGCCAGCCCGGGCCTGAGGAGATTTCACCCGGGGTGGCTGGGGTCGGGGCGGGCCTGGAAGCCTGAGGGGAATCTCTGGATAAACTGACCGATAAATGCAGGCTTGGGCGGCGCGAGGGCCTTCACCCTTGGGAAAAGAGCGGTCGAAGGGATAATGAGGTGTAATTAATTCAGCGTTTTGGAGGTTGTTCTGGACAGTGCGCCCAGACTGTCAGCCCTGCCAGGGCGGTAAAGCAAACACCGCAGGGGATCGTGAGGGAAACGCCGTGAGAGCAGAAAGGACCCGTAAAGAGAGACTAAATAGATTGCTACCCTTAAAGAGGGGGACGACTGAGGAGGGCTTGGATGGGCATCTATAAGATCATGAACGAACTGAAAAGAATGTATGGAACGATTCTTTATGTGCACAGGGTGGAAATGGGAGGTCCTTAATTATCAAACATAGGACTAAAAAGAGATGCTTTTTCATCAACAGAATAACAAAGCATTTCAGCTCGCTGCCATATGCTTGTAGGTCAAAGACAGGTAAATAAGTTCAAAGAAGGATTAGAGAATGACTGCTGAGCGTGTTGATTGGGGTGTGAATTCCAGATTAATAGATCTCCTAATAGCAGACTTCTAGCAGACTAAACGGGGCTTTATATAGCCATGCGCTGTTCTTTCGCTCTTCTCTAGACACCTGTACGCGTGGCCATCTTTTATGCCACTTCTCTGTGGTGCTGAACTGATCCGGTGGATCCGGTGTTTGTCTGACCCAGTGCAGCAGTTCTGCCCAACGCGCTCGGGCTGCTGGCTGGGGAGCCAGCGTGGGGATGCCTGCCTGAAGGCAGCATTGGGGCTCGGTGGCCTCCCAGCCACGGGCCCCGAGAGCCAGGCCTCCCAGGCTATCCTTTTGACTGGTGCTAACGTAAGCCGGCTACATCTTTGGAGAGAGGAATTACTCTGGAAAAATAAAACAAGAAATTAATAAAGTTCGTTTCAGCAAATCAGCTTCTGTGTACAAGTACAGTGTCATCCTGGGCAACTTCTCTGGCTGCTATTTGTTATACCTTCACATTTAATGGTGTCTTCAAAATAGTGTTTTTTTATCAATTTAAGCAAACAGAAATTTACTGGGAAAAAAATCTGTTGGTTTTCTCATCATGCTGTCTTGCTCTGCTTGAACTGAATATCAGCAAACTGATATTTCTGAGAAGATTGTTCTTCTTCCCTTCCCCCATAATTCGAACTCTGCTCTGCCTTGTGAGCAATACCCCAATAATATGTAATAGCATTTATGTGATTTAGCATTTTTCTAAATCTAGAGCTTTCTTTTTCCTACATAAGGCTTAGTTTTAGGTCAGAAAATAAGAGTCAGTTTGTGTTTTAAATCGCCTACGATGAGTCAGCTGCCTTGGTGGAGAAGGGGAGTGCAGTGTACATTGCTTATCAGAGGGGAATTATCAATGTGTATGAATACCTGATGGGAGGGCTTAAAGAAGATGGAGCCAGACTCTTCTCAGTTGTGTCTAGTGAAGGAATAAGAGTCAGTGGGCACAAATTGAAGTACAAGAAATTCTATTTAAACATAAGAGAGGAAAAATGCAGTGAAGATGAAACAGGTTGTCCAGAGAGGCTGTGGGGTTTTCTCTTGGGAGATGCTCAGACCTGGAATGGACAATGTCCTGAGCAACCTGCTGTAGATTTGAGCAGGGGGGGTGGACTACATGATCTCCAGAGGTGCCTGCAGACCTGAGAGCCTGTGATTCTATGAAATGCAAAAGCTGAGCACTTCTGTGCAGATCTCTCTATTTCTAATTGTAAAACTTAATTGTAAGTTTTACAAATCACTTAATCCTCGCTTAGGTTTCTTGTACAACATTGCCCACTGAGGTTTAGCAAGGGGAGACTAAGTAATGTGATAAATGCTGTCAGATTGCTTATAGCTCTCCTGTAAGTATGCTTTCTGTAGTTATTGATGAAAGGATGCACGTAGATGAAGATTGTCACCGAAATCTAGGAAATAGCACAAAAAATCGCATCTATTGATGTTATGGTGTTGATTCTGTGGTACATTCTTTTGGTGGTCTTTGTCAGGTCCATGGGAGACTGAAGTTGTGACGACTATTAATCTGGTATTCAAAGCCAGCATTTTGTTGCGGTTTACAAGAAATGTTGGGCAATACTAAGTCTGTGTTAGCACTGGCATCCTGTCAGTGTGGGTTAATTTATTTCATCCCCTTATGCAACTTTTGATAAGTGTTGTAGTTTCCTGTGCTAGTGAGAGCTATTTGCATTGACATAAGATATTCTTGGGGTGGGGAGAGAAGTAGTGACTGAAAAGTTGTCTTGTGTGTCACAGAAAACTAGCAAACTTTGTACTGTATGAGGTTTGATCACGTTTACCTCCGACAGCTACCAGAATCTTAATTTTAAATTAAAGAACGCCTAAATAGTAAGACTTAAACTGTTAGCACAGTTGTTTTATTATATGATATGTAATAGAAAACATGGACTTGAGAGGCCTATTAAACTTCAGTGTATTCCTGTGACCAGAGAAAGATGGAGAGAAAAATTATAGCATCTAAGGCTAGTATCTTGTTGTCATGGTATGTAGTTTTCTTACTGAGGTTCATTAACATTTTTAGATTTCAGTACTGTATTTTATAGGAAAACCACATCCTTCAGAAATGGACAAGATTTATGCAGACCTGAACATGGAAAAGTAAGTTGAAACCTAATATACCTTATTGTGGTATAAATATTATCATTTAGAGGCAAAACTTTTCTTAATCCCTGCAGTTTCTCTTGAATGAAATGTGTTTTCTGTTGTGAAGAAGGAAAACAGGGAGTTTCTTTGATTTTGTGTAGGAAAGCTCTGAGGAAATTTCATAGCAGTGGATTGTCTGGAGACTCACTGACCATGGGTTTGGAGGGCAATCTGCTGAATTTTCCAAAGCTTATTCTTGGGAACTAGTGCTGGAATGAATGACCTATTCCAAACAAGCTTGTTTATTTAATGTCACACTTGTAAAAATAATGGAGAAATCTATTTATTAACCTTAAAAACATAGCAGTGCTGTTCAAGAAATACATCTTTGTTCAAGTTTATGCCCTAATACCCATTTCCCTTTTTTTCCCTCCAGTGATAATACAGAGCACATCAGAGGGAAGCGGCTGTCCTCTGTGAGTAACTTAAAGAATTTCTCAAAAGAAAACCATGTGAGTGAGTGAAGGAAAGAAAGGGAAGCTGTAAAGAGGAGCTTGTTTTCTCATCACAGTTACAGAAAAGCATTTCAAAAGCAAAGAAAGAGCCTATTAGATTGATATGCTTGACTAGGCCACTGGTGGCTTTTATAGTCCCTCTCCAGACAAGTAATCAGTTCTTGTAGTTGATTTTCTCAATTATTATATTTTCTTTTAGATTTTAAAGGCTCCACGAAATCCTCTTGATGACCTGGGAAATGGGAATGAATTGACACAGGTAGGTCTATTAAGTCTTTTATTGCCAATGCTCTTAACATCTTCAGTTTGCAGTTTGCTCCTGAACTTGTCACTGATTAAACTGTGTCACTAGAATAATGCAGGTGTAAAAACTCCTGTAATAACTGTTTAGGAGGATGTTTGGAGTACTAAATATTATAAGACATCCATTGAATTTTTCTTATACTTCTATTTTAAATCAGAATATTTCTTCTATCAAGAAAAGAAGAATAAACAGAGGTTAATAGGCATAACTTGCTCCTGCTGTAGTCCATTTGACTTGAAGCTTGATCCGCCAGTGTACAAACTGGTATAGTCAGTAAGATGGTTTTGCATCTGAAATAAAAAAAAACCAACCCAGCCTGCCAATTTATTTAAGGTAAAAGCTAAGAAATAAACATTTTCTTCCAGAAATAGATACAGAATATATTTCATGATTATAGTGTCTGTTGTTTCTTAGAAATTGTAACTATAGGCCTGTTCAGTTTAGATTTTTTTTTTAAATGCCATTTCTACCTAGGATGTGTTCTATGGACTAAGATTCTAGTTGCATCATATTTATATGACTTATGTGTTGCTGATTACAGAACTTGAAAACTCATTTTTAGCATATAAGGCTTTCAGTGAAAAAGCCTCTAATAATTTCTTTATAATATGAAATATAAGCCTGAAATATTTATGCACAACACATTTATTTCAAAACTGGGTTGAGTATGAAGAGC